CCACGACAGTTTCCACGGTCGACCCAATAACAGACGTCGCAGGATTGGGAACCACGGGGCGCTCACGCGCTCGGGGGAAACCAGAATGGCTGACAGTTCTTCCTCCCGAACTCGGTTCAGAAACCATGATATTAGAGGGACTGGAGGAAATGTGTAAAGGAGCATTTGGGCCACGGGCTGTGGGCAAAAGCGTCCATTCCTAACGGTGGGTCATCCTGTGGGCTCAGCGAGAACCATAATTGACACTGGGCGCTCTCCCATGTGGCAAACAGATCCACTTCTGCTCTGCCAAATTTCCTCCAAATTCGAGAAATCAGCTCGGGATGGAGACTCCAGTCCCCGTTGCATGGACCGCCCCTGGACATTATGGGGCGGGAGGAGTGCAGCTTCATCAGGTGGCGCACCACAGTCTCCGACACCTCCTCCAACTTCTTCGATTTTTCAAGCATGGCCTTGAAATTGGCCCAGAACAGCACGTCCATCGTGATGGGGCCCTCCAGCAGGTCTTTCTGCGTTTCTCCGGCAAGGAGGGGTAGTGTATGAGTCAGGTGGACCTCTGGATCATTGTCATCCAGGCAGCGATGCGAGACAGGCAGACAGCAGGTCTGTGTCCTCCAGCCTTTTGGAGATGCTGTAGACCAGCAGCGCAACATTGTTGTTCGCTGCGGCTGCCTGGAAAGCACACTGGTGGGCTCGGTTGGAGAGCAACGTCACCGTCTGGTCGTGTCTACATGGAGAGACAGGACGTTGGTGAAACCTGGACACTTTTGCCCCGAGTGCTTCCGCCAGGCTTGGCTCCGGGGGGGCGCGTAACCGAGGGAAAATTCCGCTCAGTAAACCCCTCTACTCTGGTGAAGAGAGCGAAGGTGGAGACGGGCGATCTCAGTTTACCAGGTCCGGTTGTAGCCTCGTTCCAGTAGGACGTCACTGCTGGGAAACGAGGCCAGATGGGGTCAGGGCGGCGAGCCGGGTTGGAGCCAAACCTTCCTGCTAGATCATCTGATCTGGGCGGGGTGAGGAGAGGGACGGAAAGTCCCTTCGTGTCAGCCGCCTCCTGGATTATGACGGGCAGCTCCGCAAGGAGGGCACCGATGGTTGGGAGCGGTGTGGTCACTGATGGGAGGAGTGAGCATCCGCTCGATCCCCGTTCTAACACTACGCTCTCCAGGAGGGAATGAGCAGCGGGGCTGCTGCTGACGTCGCTTGTCCTGGAGGAACCATCCGATTCGCTCCGAGACTCGGCATCAAAAAAGGCGATGGCGTCGTCCAGCAAACAGTCCCCCGCCACGGAGAAGCACTCCTCAACGTTAGCCTTGAACAAGGCTGCTCGCCTCTGCCTCTCCTCAGGAGGGATGAGGTCACAGAGACGGCAGGAGGAGGCGAGGTTGGCGTGGCGGGGACCCAGGCATCCTTCACAGATGTCGTGCCGGTCGAAGCTCAGCATGTAGCCGGTCTTGCAGGACAGGCACAGGCGGATGGTGTTGGTGCTGGACATCACGTTCTTGTGAAGATCAGTGCTGATTGCTCGCTGAAGAAAAATGGGAGCCGATTACCCACTCTCAACGTAATTTATACGGACTGGGTGAGGCCCACACAACAGGTGGGCCTGGACTAAAGTTTTCAGTGCTACCCTTCGCGTGACAGGATAAAACCCACCAGTGACAGCCTTAAAGGGCAAAGCCTATACGAAATAGAACTTTAAACTTATAAAAATTCCAGTTAATTTATGTTCATCCGTCACTTTAATTTTTAAATGATGCTTCTTTTGTGAAGTATGTTTTTAGAGCCTCAAGCAGGGTTGGGTTTTCTCACGGGTTTAACAAAAAAAATAGTTGATTTTGTCAGGAAAATGTCTTGCATTGCTTAGAAAATTCTGCTCTTGTCCTCCAACACACCGCTGCCAAATGTAACAGCACACTACTCCTGACTGAGCCATGTTTTGATGTCCAATCTGCATGTTGTTCAGAAAAAAATCAACTTAAATCATGAACAGAACAGTGATGAAGGTGCGCTCAGCAGATATTTAAAGCAAACTGGGTTAGTGTTTTGTTCACCCACCATCCCTAAAACAGAACGGCATCGACAGCGTCAACAGACTGTATTTAAATCTGAGCTCAAACGGAGGCAGATGAAATATCTGTGAAGGCACCGAGTGTGATAAATGAGGGATGAAGAAAGCTCATTAGCTAAAAGGTTCTTCTATCACCTCCTGCTGGGGCATGGAGGTGTGTGTGTGTGTGTGTTTGCTTGAATAGCTTCATGTGGACCTGACAAGTTCTTTGTCCTTTTCAATGAGAACATGTGGACACACACACGCACACACACGCACACGCACACGCACACACACACACACACACACACACACACACACACACACACACACACACACACACACACACACACACACACAGTCTATATATTTGGATATGAACACTGAGGGCATTGATTCTGTTTCCAAGTCATTTAACTATTAGGTTCTCTTGTGATTATTCTGTTTGAATGAGCCGCCACACAGACAGACAGAGAGACAGACAGACAGACAGACAGACAAAGAGACAGACAGACAGATAGACAGACAGAGACAGACAGACAGGCAGATAGATTGATTGAACTTAAGCAACAGGTGAAAGTGTTGTTTTGTGTTTTGGTGTTTTTCTTCATGTCTTGTAAGAAGACAGTTTTTTAGTAAGTAGTTGTAAATGCAAAGTATAGAAAGCAAAAGAAGCTTAAATATGAAAAGTGCAGATTTAAGAGTTTAGAAAAGCTCTTTAGGATTGTTTAAAAAAATTAAACTTAAACTAAGGGGTTAGGGTGTTGTGGGTAAATACAAGTTGATTCAGTTTTGTATACATTATAAACATATATATATATGTATGTATATATATCCATCCATCCATTATCTTTACCTGCTTATTCCATTTTGGGTGACGGGGGTCGCTGGTGCCCATGTCCAGCAATCACTCTGCGAGGGGCGGGGTACACCCTGGACGGGTCGCAAGACCATCACAGGGACACATAGATACAAACGAGACAAACAACCATTCACTCTCTCACTCACACCTAGGGACAATTTAGAGTTACCAATCAGTCTAACATGCATGTTTTTGGTCTGTGGGAGGAAACCGGAGCACCCGGAGAAAACCCAGGCATGCACGGAGAGAACATGCAAACTCCACCCAGAAAGGCCCCTGGACCGGGGTTTGAACCAGGGACCTGCTCGCTGAGAGGCAGCAGCTCTACCAGTTGCGCCACCGTG